GGAAAGCAGATACCGTGAACAGACTTTCTGCTATACTACCACACAACAGATTTTCCCAGGCATTTGGTACATAACTGGACAAGAATTTTATCAATTTAGCATTCCTCTAATTTGCAGTATTTCCAAATTTTACTTTAACCTATTAAAACTGAGCTGTATTTTATTCTCCTGGGTGGCATCTGGCATTTTTTCAAGAAAAATAATTTAATATTTAAGACAACTTTAATGTTCAAAATGAAGGCTACTACAAAGCGAGTACACTATTCAGTTTGTAAGAATCTAAGCTGTTTCTACAAAATCACATTAAAACCATAGATTGAGCATTGCCTCTTTGAAAAATACTAAAGTGCATTTAAGATCATATGAGACTTTCCAACAAGTAAAACCACTCTTGCATTCAAGATTCCTACTTAGCCACCGCAACTCCACAGCTTAAAAAAAAATTAAAAATTAAAAATAATAATAACCCCACAATAAAATTCCATCTTCCAACAAGGAACTTGAAGAAAAGTTTTAGTCAGGTGCTAGTAATGATGCTTAATGGTTCTACCTCTTCAAGCAGATTCTGTCAAAGTAACCAGCATTTCAGTGCTTGCTGATGTGGGCATTTATAAAAAGGAATCACCAGTTTTATATAATGGCATGGACTCCATCCTAACCTATGTGACAAGTTCAGGAACAGGCTATATTAAGGGATTTCAAAAGTCCTAAAAAACCACTTGTTTTCAGAGAAGCAGCTCAAGCAAGGATAAAGCACTTTTTAATTAGTAAATTTATGAACTTTCCAGTATTGTGATTTTTAAGAAAAACAATTTAATGTGATGTGCATGCTTTTCTACAACTCAGACACAATGAGTTTCCTTCAAAGTCACTTCACATACAGGGTTTAGCTTGCTGCTAGAAGAAAGCAGCACTTTCAATATAGAAGAAACCTGGTATGTTACAGAAGTGAGTGATACTCATAAGCATTTATTTTCATCACTTTCTTGCAATACAGGCTGAAATCAAGCACTCTGCATGCTGACAGAAGGCAAGCTGCTTTATGCAAGAAAAACTAAGAAAAAAGACACTTTACCTGTGTGAAAAAAAAATAAGACATCTTAATCAAAGAATTCAAGCAGGCCTCAATACTTGCCTGTTATAAAACCAATGCCAAAATGAAAAGGATGGAGTGCAGGCAAAAGTTCCCCTCTACTTTTCACAATAAAGTGATGGCCATGGGTTGTTTTTTTATAAATATTTGACAAAATGAAATTGCATAAGGGAGGGAAAATATTTCAGTGGAAAAGTTGGGTGTTTTTTTATTTCATAGTTTGCAATGACTTTTTAATGCCACTAGAACACTCTCTCTCAAGAAAACAAAAGATAAATAGAAGCTAGGGAGGATAAGACGCTGGGGAGGATACTGTCTGAAATTTATTGTGCTTAGAAATATGACCACAAAATACTTCATTACTGTTTTTTGGAATTCGCTTGGAAGTCTCAGGAACAAACTTTGTTACATCTTTGCTCTCTACCATTCCCTGTTGCTGTGACCTCCCTCAAAAGTAGCACTAACGATAATCAAAAGAATGCAACAGTGTTGTGTTCCTCACCCTACAAGCCCTTTTTGGGAAGCTAGCTCATCCCATGTAGTGGTGGTAAACAGACTTCAAACTGCTGTCCAAGAATGAGAATACCTGCCATAAATCAGGAAGAGACATTAAAAAGTTGCATAAACTTCACATGTGGCCTTAGCCACCACTCTCCTCCAGCTGGGAAGACACTCTGAATCAGCCCTCCCTTAATAATGCTGCTGTTCATGTAGCTGAGAAAAAAAAACCAATTGACTCAAGCAGATTAACCTTGCATGTCTTGTCTTCTGTTGTGAAAGAAGGTCTTTAACCTCAGAAGTAATAATTTAATATTCTAAATTCATCATGCACAGGAAGACAACAGCAGCTTTGTTACAACACCGACATTTCTAAGTTTTTCTAGTTCCCATCACCCACACCCTGCAACGCCTGCTTCACCTGTATCATTTTTTCCTCACTGTCAGGCCCCCTTTACAAAAATATTCTCTGCACAACACAGTTTGCTCACTACATTGTTTGGTATAACATTTATCTTGTTCTCTACAGGCAGTAATGCCACACATTTATAAAGATGTGCAGTCATCTGATTAGAATAGCGCATTCTAAAAAGTCTGGACAGGGGCACAAAAGCTGACTACAAGCATTTTTCCCAACAACATGAAGCATTAAGTCTAAGGAGTATTGAAAGAGGAGACAGTTACCAGGTTCAAGTCATTTTAGCTTACATGAAAAGCTCCAATGAACCTGCTCATTTAGCTCTTTTCTTCAGTGTGAACAGCAGCAGCGCTACTCTTTTTCACCTCATTTTATCACATAAAGCATTTTTATAAAAAGTAAAATTGTTAAATTTAAGTGTATTTACCTGATTAAAACCAGAAGAATATAAACTTTAAACAAAAAGGAAGTATAGTTTACTAGGGGAACAATCTTCCAGATACGAGTAGATCAGATACAACCCAACTTCAGAAGCTAACTAGAATCAAATGCTCCTAAGTTATATGGGAAAGTACCGTAATAGTAGTATTATAACATCAATGTCTTTTACTATTAAGAATAGTAGATGTTTACACACACAGTATCTTGCTCCATATATTTAACTGTTGCCAACAACAACCCCTGAATTTAATAAGACAGTTCAACAGCTATCACAGAAGCATGGAGAATAGAAACACAATACTTCACGTCAACTTGAGCTGCATCAGTTTTTGAACAGAAAGCCAATAAAGGAAAAGAGCCTGAAGTAGTTCACCTTGCATTGCAAAAAGTAGTTCACCTGTTCCCAAATTAATTTGATTGAATTTGTTGGAAAGACAAAGAATTTAGATATTATTTTTCTAAAAACAGCAATAAAAAGTCATTTTATCTGCTTAACACATTTCAAGCACACCTTCAAAGATTTGACTTGGTAGGTCAGAGAGTCTACACTTAACACTGAACATCTAAATGTCATTTTGCATTTTAGTTCGAAAGAAAAAGACAAGAAGCTACCTTTTCACTCCCCCCTTAGTGGTCCAAAGGGAACTCTCCCCCCAAAAAAACACACTACGCTACTTGCTCACTACTGTGGAATATTCCTTACACTTAAGATCAGAAATGCACTGCAGCCCTGATCTGCAGAAGTCTTTCCTAGCCCTATCTTAATTTTCTTTTAATAAGAGAATGTCATCACACATTCATCCTTAAGAACAGCGCTGTTCACAAGAGACTAGGATAAGGTCAAATTCATTTTCAATTGTCATCAGAACCAGGATATGAATTAAGCCTCCAAAAGGTATGAGTAATACACACAGCCCTCTTGAAGGTTTCTTTTCCTCCCTCCCAGCTACAAGCATGGATTTATAAAAAGAGAAGCCTCTACAGGCACAACAGGTTGGACATAATGAAGCACTGTTTCTATAGTCCTCTAGGTACCAACTTCAAAGGATGCTTTGCTAGTAGCAATGATTGGAGAACACTTCTCCAGAGACCAAAGAAAAAGTAATTCAATTTCAGTTGGTGTGAACTAGTATCTAGGAATGGCTGTTTTATAGATATTCTTTTTAGTTTCATATTACAGAAATGAATCAAGACTACATTAATTCAAGTAAAGTCTTATTACAACAACAAAAAAAAAATAGAACTTCCTTGTGTTACTCACAGTGAACTCCCCAAGCTTTCCTATTAACACAATAAGCAAACAGAGCTATTTTAGTGTTTGTTGTATCTTTCCTCCCTGTTCCATATGCAATGGAAAAGGGGAAAAAAAATCTTATAAAATAAAGAGCTCAGGAACACAGATTGAGAAAACTCCATTTAAAAAAGAAGTAGCAAGTATTACACAATAACTGCTTCATTTGTAAGGCAATCCAGTGTTTCAAGCCTGTGCAGTCTTATTTCTTGCATATTATCACTATCCACCTCGAAAAAGGGAGAAAAAAAATTACAGGAGAAAGGCAAAGAAGATAAGAGACTCATCTAGAGTACAGAAAAGTAGACAAAGGTTTACCCAACCTCATTCCACTAAGGCAAAAGAGTGGAAGATATTCCAGCGAAAGAAGAAATTAATAATGATAAAAAAACCAATTCCACACCCCAACACCTTTCCCTAATATAAGAGAAAAAACAGAGTACTGCTGTAGGAGCTAACAGCCACACTACTACAGTTTTCTGTTGAGGAAGAAAGCAATCTAATACTATCTGGTCTGCATTGTAGATAATCTCTGCACTGCATGTTTAGATCAGACTAACAGTCTTCAGTTAAACTAGTAAGATTTTAAGCAAAACTTAAGCAGTGAAATTACTCCAAATACAGCATGAAGAGACTCTGCATTCTGTATTCATTGTACAGTAAATCAGAGGCTAAATGTTTGGTCGCTAATTCAAACACTTTGGTTTGTTTGGTTTTTTTCCTGCAGGAACCCAAATGAAACATATTCCCTACTTTTACACTACTTTGTACTTACTGCTGGTAGTAGAGACTGCATGTTCTGGTTGGAGTCAGCTATAGTGGCTAGGTAAACCAAGTTTGTATGCAGCATCTGCTGGTATCTATCAAAATAAACAAAAGCAATACAGATCTTAACTCACACATACAGTTAACATCAGGATTTACTTCAATTCTACACATGTAAAGTCACCATGTAGACCAAGATTCAAGAGACTTACAAGAGTACCACTATCAGGAATCCTAAACTTTTTCCCCTCGCACTTACCTATTACCTTCTATGGGCACCTCAGTACAAGAAAGACATCAAGGTGCTGGAGCGGTTGCAGAAGAGAGCTGGTGAAGAACTAGAAGAACTAGGCCGGTGAAAGTCTTAGAGAACAAGACTTACAAAGAGCAGCTGAGGGAACTGGGGCTATTTAGTGCAAAGAAAAGGAGGCTGAGGGGAGACTTTATTGCCCTTTACAGCTACCTGAAAGAACACTGTAGCAATAGGTGTTGGTCTCTTCTTGCAAGTAAATAGTGTTAGGACAAGAGGGAATGGCCTAAAGCTACATCAGGAGAGGTTTAGGCTGGACATTAGGAAAAAAATTCCCTCTGAAAGGGTTGTTGGGTATTGGAACAGGCTCCCCAGAGAGAAGGTTGAGTCACCACCCCTAGATGTGTTTAAAAGTCATATAGATGTGGTGCTTGGGGATATGGTTTAGGGGAGACCATGGTAGAGTGGGGTTAAAGGTTGGACATGATGATCTGAAAGGTCTTTTCCAACCTAAATTATTCTGCGACTGTATGATTCTACCCAATCTTTCCCAGTGTCTCCATCAAATTTGCACCTGTATCTTCTCTACAATTTCTATCTTGCTATGAAAAATCTCAATCTGGGTGATGTTGTTCTCACCAATTTCACTTCCTGACCCAAACTATGTCACCAGGACACATCCACCATGTTTCTGTTTCATATAGCTTCCACCACAAACACTAGGAACAGAAAGCTCCTCCTACTATGTCCCCAGATATCACAGATTTTTGTGAATCATGACCAAGAACAGTGCAAGCATTTCATCAGGATCCAGGGCTTTGGAAGCTTGCTATGGAATTATTTTTCTCCTACAGATCCACATTCCAGAGCCTAAACATTTAACCCAGAGTCACAAAAATTACTTTGAAAGCAGGAACAAATAAATACATAACTACAGGCTTGCAAAGAGCTTAATACAGTAACTGTGCTCCAAAAAAAGCACTCCCTTAAAGCAAAAAGACCTACTATTTATGACATCCCTCCTACTCCCAGACTACCAATCCTCTTAGTAAGGGACTTGAGCCATACTGCAATACCCTGTCTGTCACATGGCTCTCTTTGGCTGATTACAAGGCTGTTGTGATCATGCCATGCCAGAAAATAGTAATGGGAAAATAATATTCGTTAATAATTCACTCCCCTTCCACAGTTCTCTCAGATTACTCTCCAGAGACCCCAACAGATAGCAAGTCTACATGGGATATTCTGGCAAGCCAAACTTTTAAGACAAGCCTGTTTGTTCCTGGGCAAGTGGCAAGGAGGTAGTTTTCAATCATGCCATCAGGAAGAACAAAGTTTCATTCCTACAAGATTTTGATAGGCTTGAGAAGGAAACTGCCTTTTCTTGATGTGTAATTATGATGCAGAGGAAAAAGATCTTGGCTTATACATTCCCCATTTTTATAAGCGTTAACATTATGGCACCAACTTGCAGTAGGCAAGCCACAACATTTCAGTGATGGAAGTCAGTCATATGGCAAATACAACCGTAAGTTTCAAGTGTAGCATCTGCAGCAATACTTTTCTGTTCTTCACAGCACAGCTTTCCCACAAAGTGAGCTAAACAAATCAAGAACAGTGATCTACATAAAAATTCACCCAGTCTGGAGTAGATTTGGATTAATGTCTTACTGAGAGCATTCAGACGTCTTTCCTTTGTTCTGATAGTCCATTATACACTGAATAAGATGGTTATTTTCATCCAACATCTGAAACGATAAAGAAGAAGTTTGGAGTAAGTTTCATTTCTTTGTGGAAAGAAACTGAAGTTTGAGTCTTGCACCTCTTCTCAGAGTTTTTAAAAATAACAAAAAAAAAAGTAGTATTCCAGAAAGTTCTATTTTAGCCAATTACTTAGAAAATGCTCTTTTGCTTCCATTTTTCTCCTTCTATTAGTTTTGCAGCTTTCAGTTTAAGGATTTCACACCACTACTATAGCTACATTTGTGAAGTTTTCTAGTCAAATACCTATGCTTCTTCTGCATTAAATTCTTACAAAGTTTTCAAAGTTTTGCATTTCTTTGGTTGATCTCTACCATGAAATTTACTTAAATTAATGCCTCAAGTTTCCCTTCTCCTTCTAAAGCCTGCAACTGTTTATAGATTTAATAATAAACAGCATTTAAATTGTTAGTGATAGAAACTGAGCTTACCAGACAGGCTTGTTTCAAGGAAACATACTGGAAAGCTAGGTCATTTACATGAAGAATCCCTAATTAAGCTGCATTTTATAAATATTCAGCCTAATGGACAAAAAAGATGTATCATACCTCCTAAGTGCCCAATAACATGAGCACACATGAATTAACTTTCTGACAAAAACAAAGTAGTCCTAAAGTAATGGGAAATTGCAGATTTCATGGCTTTCTAGAAAAAGCTCATGAATTCAAGGTCTTCCAAGCTCTATAAAAATAAAGCCTGGTTACCTAGAGCTGCACATCCCAACATTCCTGTCTTTTTAACCACTCTCCTGCACACTGATCAGACAAGAGTCAGCAGAGCCACGGCTCATCTGAGCTACCAGCAAAGTTACACAAGTCAACTGAACTAAATGGAAAGTTCGCTGTCAGAAAATTTTTCATTGATTAATTAAAAAACAACAACAACACCAAAAAACCTGACACCTTTTTTCTTTTGACTAGTTCACCTCTACCAGAAAAAGCATGAAGTCAGAAACCTCACACAGTCCATTTGGGACTTATGTCCATGTAAGAATGAGACAACCAGCCAAGTCTTCCTAAATTCAAACCAATAATTCACCAGAACTAACTAGAACTATCACTGAGCTATTTTGCCTGAAACTGCTGGATCTGCAAACACTATTATTAAGCACTGAACACAGGCAGAACTGAAGTATTTTGAATTACTGTCTGAGCCTCAGAAAATAGGCAGAACTGTAGTTGCACACTCTGAAGACGATCACAAACACACTGCTACACAGATACGTTTCATGTGTGCTTACCATCAAGTTTTGTAAGAAACACAGTGGCCACTTTCACCAGAAAAAAATAGGGGAAAAAGAAGCTAATACCTTTCATAGAGCACTTGCAAAGGAAGCCCTCAATCAGGGCTCTCAGAGTGTCTCCCACCTTCCAGAGAAAGGAGCAGACTGCAGACAGGTAGACTTTCAGACTGCCAGTTAGATGGCTGCATTCATCACTGTGCCATGTAAGCTAAACCTTGGGGTGGGGGGACCATGCAGTGAGAAAGGAATGCAAGGGCCAAGGGGAAAACAAACAAGAAAGACAACTGTATCCTGGATAGGGCTTGCAGGCACTGCTGTACAATTTTGACTGAACAGCTGCCGATAGAAAATGAAAATAGTTCTTTGAAAGAGTTATAACCACCTATCATCAAAAGAAAATTTAAGTTTCCAGTTGGATAAAGACACCTCCAGGGCTTCTGCCAGCTTATGCACAGTACAGATTCTTCAGCTTTAACTATACTAGGGTTTTGCCAGTACACCACTACCAAACTAATGTTTTGACTACAGCACAAGATAAACTTGTCTGCATTCACCATACACACCCCAGCGACCTGAAGTCTCTACTGACTACCTTTAGACAGCTTTCCACCATTTCTCAAGCATTCATTTCTGCTACTTAACCCCAAAGGTCTCCATTGTAACTATGGGGTTTTCTCTGAGGTCTCGATTCCTACAACGTCTAACTTGCTGAGGCTCATATTTTCTACTAAATCAGACGTTACTTATATCTACCCAAAAGGCTCCTACACCAGGAGCCGGTACTAAACTGAAATCTGTGATTAATGGCTATTTGTAACAGTACGAGCCTTCCGCGAAGCTACTAAATACCACGAAGGAACCAGTGAACTTGAACATGCCCCTTGGCTTCTGCCGACACAAGGCATCGTGAATTATTACAAATCCCATACGTGCTTTTCTGTGCTGCAGCGAGTTAACTTTCTCCCTCCCACAAAAGCTTCAGTGGAGACGTCCGGAATCGCGGTAACTGGCTACACCCACCATGTTCCTCTTCGGTAACACCTGGAAGTTTACGGGGGGAAGCCTCACTGCTAGTCGGGCCCAGCTCGGTACCTGCCGCCGCCGCTAACCCCGCGGAGGCAGAGCCCAAAGTTAAGCGGGGCTTAGTGAGAACCCGACTGAGCCCCGACCCGCAGGAAGGAGTCACTCGACTCCTCCGTTCTCCCACCGCGCCAGGCCGAGCCCTGCCGGGTTAATTCACGCCCTGAGGGACGCCCGGGACAGGCCCCAGGGGGGCTGGGGGCCACGAGCGCCCGCCCCCGCCCCCGGGACCC